ACAACGTGACAGGTTCACGGGGAGTCCTGAAGCCAAAGGTGTATTTCCATAAACAATCCCTAGACTTTTATTACTGGAGAATCCAGAATAAAGGAGAGAGGCGAAGGCGGGGGCGGGAAAAGATGGGAAGAGGAAAAGAGCAGATATGGGAAAGGAAGAGTATTAAATGGCTTTTTAATGGCACCACTTTTTGATTTTGCCTTTAGGAGAAAAGTTAGAGGTGGTGTGATATTAGAGCCCCAAGCCCATTTGCATAATGGTTCATGACCTTCTCCATTAGCAAGGAGAAGACATAGGAAAAATATTTAAACTGCAAAGGGAAATTTTAAAACAATGCAAGAGCTCTTTACCAAAAGTCACTTCTGGAATGGTCCTCAAGAGAAGCTGGGAGATTCTTGACCTGAAAAAACAACAACAACAAAAACCCACTAACAAACAAAAACCCCCTTTGTATGCACAACCCATCCTGGGAACAAAATCTTCAGTAGGAAAGGATCATAAAAGCATAGTCCAGTGCCTCCAGACAGGCCAGTCTCTAAGCACATCTTTTTCTTTTGCCAAGTAATTTACCAACACTTCATCATGCTGAAATCCCACATTGTCCAGTCACAGTTTTTCTCCTACTTTTAAATGAAGTCTATTTTTTTTTGTTTGTTTGTTTTTCATAGACCAGGAGAGGACCTGCTCAGTGAGCACAGGTCTTTAACATCCCATCATAATAGTGAAAACATTAACTAGAAGGAAAAAAACCCTCCCTGTAACCACTTCTCAAACAAGCCTGAGGTCATGGCCATTCTTTTTTTTTTTTTCTTTTTTCGTGACCGGTAACGGGATCGCAACCCTCCGTGTCGCGCCCGCACCACACTCAACCAGTGAGCGGACCAGTCTCTATATGGCATCCGGTCTCTATATGGGAGCACCGCCGCACTCCCAAGCGCCGCACTCTACCGAGTGCGCCACCAGGCCGGCCCCAGGTCATGGCCATTCTTCATGGGACCTATTTCCTCCTGCTCCCTCATCTCTACAAATCTGCATTCTCCATATCCACTTTCAAATGACAGGTAGATCAGGTAAGACTCCCTGATAAGGAATTGCTAAAGCAGCACACAGCAGAAAGCTTACCTCCTAGCGCTTCTGCAAAACACTGCTTAGTTCGTTTTTCTCTTAGGGGACACCTGTTGCAAGTGGCCTTAAACTTTGTAGAGAGATGTAACCTTGAGAGCCACTACAGAATTACCTATGCTTATGAAGCCTTTTCCACTCTGAGTTTGTGGTGTTGAATTTTTGTACTTATTTGATGTACTACCATGCAGTTAGTCTTTTTTCCCCTATTTTATAAGATCCTATGCTTATTAGAACTACCAGCTGGGCCCAGTCCGTAGTCCATTCAGCCAGGAGCCTTTTTCCAACAGTAGAATCAGAAAACCCATCTTAAGGGAGCTTGGTTGTCTTCTCTGCTGCGAACGTCAACAGTTAGAGTCCCCTCCAAACAAGACAGATTTTCTTGATAATGCATTATAACTATGTTTCTTAGATTTTAATATTTTAAAACTGTGATGCCTCTTGGGAATGATAATTTTCATAGTTTACTACTAAGTGAATTTTTTTTTCTTTTGTTGGTTCTAAATTGAACTCAAGATTCAAATTCCCCCACTTCTAATTCTTGAATTCTGAGATTTGGGGCGGAGGGAAATCCCTGTTCACTTTGTCTAATATCTTAAAACTTTCTGAATGAAAAGGTTTTGATTGTATTCTAACTCAGATCCATCCTTCCAGACAAAGATCTTTTGTTTGTGGTTCTTGCCCACCACACTGCCACAATATCATCCTACTTGGAAAACCATACCTGCAATTCTGACCAAGTCATCAAGAAAATGTGAGTATTAACTGAGACCTTATATTGAAGATAGTCAGGCACAAACTAAGCTATTGAAAATATCACAGTCAACCATCTCCCAAATAAATGAAATATTTTAAAACACACCTGAAAACTTCTGTACTAAGACTAGGGATGCAGGATTAGGTCGGTTGGCTGGTTTTTGTTTTTTATGATTCTATTTCCCCTTTTCACTCAGGCTAATATGAAAGCAAGGCTGAGATTCTGAGAATATGCACCCCCCACACAGGGAATGCTGACAGCCCAGGAGCAATCTCCACGATAGGAGAAAGCTGTGCAATGGTGGGCAATTACAATATCGAGGATTCTCTTCAAGAAGCAAGTCTTGGCTGCTTCTCTCAACATCCCAAACTTTCAAACCAAACTTACAGGCAGGCAGAGGCTAAAACCATCCGTGCATCATGTGAGCGATTCCTAAAAATCCTCTGTGCTCTGACGATCCTCCACTGAGTGCTTCCCATGCCTAAATTGCAGTGTAACAGGCACATCCTTTCTAAGACTGAGAGTTCAATACTGCCTCTCTGGGCTCTTCTTAAAATGCAAGTACTTGTGAGTTAATTTAACACCACCAGATTATGAGAGAACTAGAAACCAAAGGGAAAGACCCTTTAAGGCAGAAAACAGGACCTGAAGAGCAGTGAAGTTGCTGAATTCAAATATGAAGTTATAGTCACGCTGGCCTGAGCAGTTTGTCCAGTTCAGGCCAAGAGCTTAGCTAGTCTGGTATCTCTTCCTGAACTGTCTGAACAGCTGGGGTCAACAGCTTCCCACTCTAGGAATAGTTTTTCCTTTTCCATTTTTGGCTGGTTTATTCCCGGGCTTAAAAAGGCTCAGTAGGTGGGCTGGCCAGTTAGCTCAGTTAATTACAGCATGGTGCTGGTAATGCCAAGGTCCAGGGTTCAATCCCTGCACCTGCCAGCCACCGAAAAAGTGAAAACAAGAAAGGAAAATGCTCAGTACGCACAGAGTGGGGACTAGAAGGAATTCTGGCGCCACCGAGCAGTCAGGAAGCACCAGCCACCCACAGGCCAAACACCTCATGGAAGATGAGCAGCGTTTATCTGTTTCTTTCCTCTAAAAGGGTACAAGGGAACAAACACTTCAACCAGCAGGAGGCAAGAAGAGAGGTACCAGGAAGAACTTTCGAACAGAAAGATGATTATCAAGTTGGTAACTCAGTTGCTCAACTCCCTTAAGTCCTAAATGAAAGGAATAAGAAATCTCCTCTTCTTAAGGTGTTAGATAGAGGGAAGAAGTAGGGTTGAAATGTCCTCCGAAACCTTCATCATCCCTGACTCAGTAGAAAGACTCCACTGCTGACCGAAAGAAACAATTAGAAGAAATTTCCTTCCTTGACTCCTGCCTGGGTGAATTCTAGCATCAGAACCTCTGATACTGATGAAAAGGACAGCTCCTGGGGTCCTTAGGCAAGAGATGTGGCCAAGTGGTCCCTGCCTGATGCGCCAGAACCAGCTGAGCACATCTGTACACCCCAGGTGCCATCTCCCACCAGGCCTGCTCTTGGGCCCAGTAGCTGGAATTCCTGTGGGATATATCACAGCCCAGAGAGAGAGGCCGTGTTCCCTCCCAATCTTCAGTGTTCAGTGTCTGTTTCCTTCTCAGATTTATTTATTTATTAGTAAAAAGAAAGGGAAGGGCTTGGTTTATGATCTTGAGAAAAGCCTAGATTCTGACCAAAGAAAGGAGATGGTAATTGACCCATGATTAACAAGAGCTATTTTTTTGTTTGTGAGATGTTAAGAATTATTCCACAGTTTAGAGGTGGGCATAGTAGTCAGATTCCCCAAAAGATCAGGGATTGCCTGTGAAATATTCTAGTTTCCCTTACTAATTATGGATACCCATTAACTGATTTAACTCCTTTTTGGATAACCCCTGTTCCACCTAAACTTATCTGGGCTTATGTGAAACTTTTGTGTATTCTACACTTACCTCCTGTTTAAAATAATTTTTTTAAATTTATGGGCTGACCAGTAGCTCAGTTGGTTAGAGCGTGGTGCTGATAACACCAAGGTCCAGGGTTTGATCCCTGTACCAGCCAGCTGCCAAAATAATAATATAATAAGGAAATTTATTTTTATTTATTTAATTATTTTGGTGGCTGGCCGGTAAGGGGATCTGAACCCTTGACCTTGTCCAAACTCTTGACCTTGTCTGAACCCTTGACGTTGGTGTTATCAGCCCCATGCTCTACCAAGTGAGCTAACTGGCCAGCCCCTACCTTCTCTTAACTCACATATTCATATCTTCTGTATTTGGTGAATTAAGTCTACATTCACTCTTTCCATTCTTTTTATGATTTTATAGGCTCAGCATGTTCTTCCCCAAACTTAATCTGTCCAGATCAGGAGTTTCCACCTGAGAGTGAAGGGATGTAGAAGAGAGGGGAGAAAATTTGTCAGAAACTTCTGGGGAGCTTTTCCAAATACAACATGTCTGCTTCCCCCTTCCCTGAGCATATCAAAACCTCGGCTGGGTAAATTTGTATTTTGAAAATTTCCACAATCAATTCTAACAGTCAATTCCCTCTATCCTGTTGTAAGCATTGTTCTAAACTGAGGAGCCCTAATCTTTTCGGTCTGTCACATCCTTTATGTCTGTGTTAGTTCATGTTTGACATTCTGATGAAATTCCATTCATTGTGTAACTGGCAGTGGTTGGGGATTGCAGTGAAAATTTGTCATCGTAGGGGCCGGCCCGGTGGTGCACTGCTACAGTGCGCCGCTTGGGAGCATGGTGGCGCTCCCACCGAGGGTTCGGATCCCACATACAGACCGGTTCCCGCTCACTGGCTGAGCGAGGTGTGGGCGCAGCACCGAGGGTTGCGATCCCATTGCCGGTCCCGGTCCGGTACGGGCGCAACACTGAGGGTTGCGATCCGTTGCCGGACACGAAAAAAGACAAAAAGGAAAAAAAAAATTTTGTCATCGTAAAAATTAAATTGGTACGTGACTGTCAAGCCTGGAGAACTATTAGACCTTTCCTGCTGCAGATCCGCCTTGCCAACAGCTGTTTCTTCATTTGCTTTTTTCCCAGAAGTTTTCCTTGAACAAATTCTTCAAGTGAGCAAAGGCAACCAGCGATGGAGGGAGCCAACAGCTCCTTGGAGGGCTTCATTCTGATGGGCGTATCTGACCATCCCCAGCTGGAGATGTTCTTTTTCGCAGTCATCCTCTTCTTGTACTTGCTGGCCCTCCTTAGGAACTCAACCATCATTCTGCTTTCCCACCTGGATGCCCGGCTCCACACGCCCATGTATTTCTTCCTCAGCAACCGCTCTTCCCTGGACCATGCCTTCACCACAAGCTCAGTCCCCCAAATGCTGATCAATTTATGGGGACCAGACAAGACCGTCAGCTATGGTGGCTGTGTGACTCAACTCTATGTTTTTCTTTGGCTAGGGGCTACTGAGGGCATCCTGCTGTGGTCATGGCCTTTGACTGCTACATGGAAGTTTGCCGGCCCCTGCACTACACCACCATCATGAATCCTTGGCTCTGCTGGCTGTTGGCTGCTACTGCCTGGCTGGGTGGCTTGGACAACTCTGTGATCCAGTCAGCGTTCACTCTGCAGCTCCCACTGTGTGGGCACCACAGAGTGGACAGCTTCCTGTGCGAGGTGCCCGCCATGATCAGACTGGCCTGTGGAGACACAAGTGTCATTGAGGCTGTGCTCAACGGTGTGTGCCCTTTCTTCACTCTAGTCCCTCTGAGCATCATTCTGGTCTCCTACTGCTGCATCACTCAGGCGGTGCTGAAGATCCGCTCAGCAGAGGGATGGAGAAAGGCCTTGAACACGTGCCTCTCCCACCTGGTGGTGGTGTTCCTCTTCTATGGCTCAGCTACCTATGCGTATCTGCTTCGAGCTAAGAGCAGCAACCAGGGTGAGGGCAAATTCATGTCCCTCTTCTACTCTGTGGTCACGCCCATGGTGAATCCTCTCATCTACACTCTAAGGAACAAGGAAGTGAAGGGGGCACTGACAAGGCAGCTGGGGAAGGGAAGAGAAACCAGTTGAGAGAGGAGAAAACTCCCTCCTTATTTATTGCCTCTTCATCTCTGTGCACTTTTTCCTCGTTATTTCTCTGGCCAGGTGAACATGAGGAATATCAACCCAAGTAGAACCAACATGTTCCCGACAACCCTAAGATGATGGGATATGGTTAGTGTTATTTGTAATGTTCTACTCTTATTTACCAAAATCTGACTGTGGACTACAGATAACAGGGCAGACATGAGCTATGGAAGGCTCAGAGGTTATTGACCTGGTACAGGCCTAAATCACTTTCTCTGTCTCTACTGTCCACTGTTATTTATTGTACCTCATGTGTATGCAGAATTCTGTACTTTTCTAAGCAAAGCACCTCCACTTGCAGTATGTTATATAATGTTACTGCAATTCCATAAAATCAAGCTATGTGTTATTAACTTCATATGAAGACCCAAACAATCCATCTTTGTACTCTATCCATCATCTTTGTCTCTTATTCTCAATATTTCAGGCTATCCATGCTTCCCATCCATGTATCTCTCTGTCGTCTGTTTACCCTCTCTCTCATGTCTACATTCCAATTTCCCTTCTGCCCAATCTAGTATTTAATGAGAAAAAGTAGGAAAAGCCATTTGCCTCTCAGTTCTACACAAAGAGGATCAGGATCCATTGATTTAGTTTTATTTAAATTTTTTTATATTTATTAAAATTCCAGCTAAAAGTTCCAGCCTTTAGATTTGCACCAGCATCTAGATATGCTAGTCTAGTCGATGGATCATAATCTAAGATTCCTTAGGCAAGTTTAAGAGCTCAGTAACAATCATCCAACCATAAAGCATGTCCTCTGCCTCAACATAGTCTTTCAGCCCTATGGTTCCTGGAACTCAGCAATCAGTCTAGCACTCACTGACTCAGTTCAAGGAAATTGTGCATTGGAACCAGAATGCCAATATGTGGTTCTGTGCATGATCAGAATTGTCAGAGGAATCCCCACCTGCCACCATGATTTATATACTATTTCCACAGACAGAGAAGCTGGGCTAATATGAGAAAGTTGCTTGGCAACTGCATCACCAGAGTAAAGGAAATCAATAGGTTTCAGAATGGTTTCAAAAGTGGGCTGGCCCATGGCTCACTCAGGAGAGTGCGGCACTGGGAGCGCCGAGGCCGCGGGTTCGGATCCTATATAGGGATGGCCAGTGCACTCACTGGCTGAGCGCAGTGCAGGCAACACCAAGCCAAGGGTTACAATCCCCTTACCGGTCACAAAAAAAAAAAAAAAAGATCTTTGGCTTTGTATCCTCATGGCACCTAAACACATGCCTCATACCTAGTAGGTGCTCAATAAATGCTTAGTGAATTGAATTAACAAGCTTCATGAGTCCCCCTTGTTCATGCTAAGAATTAAATTTGTCAAATTGACCATTTTTATTTTTGCCACTTTGGAGTCATCCTGTCCACTAAGCAGCATTGAACAAATGGTGATAAAGTTTCCCCATTCCACATTTCTATAATTCCCTCCAAAAACATATAATCATATTGTCCTGTTCTGAATTCGTTTTTCTAGCTGCAGATCAAAGCCATGAACTATTTTCTCTAGTTCCTTAAACAGCAATACTGAAGTATTCATCAAAGTCTAGAGTATTGAAGGCTCAAGTTTTTAATTTTATTTTATTATTATTATTTTTTTATTGACTGACTAATGAATGTGGGAGGCTACTCTCTGGTACTCTGGAGCACATCAGCTCTTTCTGGTTTAGTGGCACACTTAAACTGTTAACAATAGCTGTCCTTGTTAATGTTTTCTTTTGTTTTAATTTATTTTATTTATTGAATCAAAATTGATTATACATATTTTTGGGGTTCAACATTGAGATATGTTTATCAAATCAGTATTACCAGCGGGCTGGCCCATGGCTCACTTGGGAGAGCGTAGTGCTGATAATACCAAGTCAAAGGTTAAGATCCCCTTACCGGTCATCTTTAAAAAAAAAAAAAATCAATATTACTAGCATATATATTGTTACAAATCATGATTATTCTTTATGCCTCTTGTCCAATCTCTCCCCATCCCCTACTCCCCCCCCCCCCCCCCGCTGCCAATTACCCTAGATTTCTTCTCTCCTTCTGAAAGAATCATGGTTACTCTGTTGGTTTGTTGCCTAGATCTGTCCAATGCTGAGGTGTGATCGGGTCCCCTGATATTATCATACAGCAAATGCTGCTTCTGTCACTCTGAAATAGGCTTTGTGGTGAGAGACATCCTCTTCTTTTCTTTATCTCTGCTGGTGACTCTCTTTGCGTCAGTGCACTCCAGTGGCTGGCGCACCATCTGCGTGGTGGTTGTGGCGTCAAGCCACTTTCATGGCAGCCATGGACATGGTTACTGTGGTGGCTGTGGTGGGCCACCGACATGGAGGTGATGTTTTTGGCATGCTCCTTGGTGCTGGCATAGTGTGCCTGGTTGTTGGATGGGGGTGCGGTCCCCTTCTCCATGCCTCAGGTCCCCAATTTTTATTGATCAGCACACTCAGACTAGGTCAAGTTCTCAGGAAGTAAGCTCACAACGACCGAACTTCTAAAGCTGATGTATAAACCAGAATGCCTGCTGATTAGTCTATGAGAACAGTAAGTACCAAAGAGACTGAACAGTCATATCCTACAATCAATTAATTTAAGTTGTGAAATCACTTGGGGGGAAATAGAAAGAGCGTAGATAGGCATTCTTTAAACATTTTGGAATTCTGCAAAGCCTTCCTATGGAAAGTATGGGATATTTTGAAACTAACTTGGAGTTAGTGGAGTGGTAAGACACAGGGAGTTGGAGGGAGGAGGAAAAGCTAATTGCCCGTAACTGAGAAGTGAGTACATCATGGGGATCACATATAACATCACCAACACACACATGTTTATGGTCATTTTCAATGGTGTACATGAAACAAAGTCAAAAACTGAATGAAAAAAGTAATTAAATATGAGGCAAGCTCTTTGTTATTAAGAGTTTTCAAGTTGTATTTCTAGGGTTCCAGTATGTTAGTGTCTTGTTCAGTTGGAAATTCAGAAAATGAAAACAAAACAACCACCAAGACCTATATAAGGTTCACTAACCTTAATAAAACAGAAATGTACAGTGTTTTGATATGCCTGTCTGGTCAGTGGATTTAAGTGAGTTTAAGAGACCATCTCATGTAGCCCTTGCTAGAGTCTATCTAGACCCCCATAACCTGCCCTGTAAGTATCGCAGCTGCATGAACACCTGAATCAAATGACCAAATTTTGAACCTCCCAGTGAAGAGAGTCAAACTTTTTCCTGACTTCTCATCCTTCAGGCTTAATTCCATGGCTGTGATTAGGAGAGATTAGAAAAAAGGAGTTGGTGAGAAATAGAAAGTAAAAAGTGACTTTGGCTTGGTGCACTTATGCTTTAGTAGGTGAGCTCTAAGCTATGGACTAATTTGGGAGCTCCATCAGTAATTTGGTGAAAAGGTCCAGTTTATTTGACTATATTGATGATGGATAGTTGTGCTGAGAGCTTATCATGTGCTAGATAATGATCTAAACGCTTTACACGACTCAACTCATTTAATCCTCTCAACAACCTATGAGGCAAACACCATTACTGTCCACTTATTAAGATGAGGCCATTGTAGCACAAGAGGAAACTCACTCAAGATTGTACAGTGGTGGGGCTGGAAATCAAATCCAAATACTCCTGACTCTAATGCGTGTGCTTTGGGCTGGCCCATAGCTCACTTGGGAGAGCGTGGTGCTGACAACACCAAGTCAAGGGTTAAGATCTCCTTACCGGTCATCTTTAAATAAATAAATAAAATAATAAAGTTTGTGCTTTTTCTTTTTTGAAACAATCACAAACTTACACAAAAGCTGGAAGCATGATACAACGACTTCCCTCCTCCCCCAGAATCATTTCAGAGTAAGTTGGCAACCTCATACCCCGTCTTTTCCAAATATCTTAGGGTATATTTCCAACAAAGAAAGACATTCTCCTACAGAACCACAATATTACCATCATTAATACATTACATTAGTGAACCTGCAGACCCCATTCAACTTCTGCCAATTGTCCCAACAACGTCTTGCAAATAAAAGGATTCCATTCAGAATCACCCGTTGCATTTAGTGGTCATGTCCCTTTAGTCTCTGTCAGTCTAAAATGGTTCCTCAGTTTTTTCTTGACTTTCATGACCTTCACACTTTAAAAGCTTGCTAGCCAGTTATTTCATAGAACATCTCTCAATTTGAGTTTGATGTTTCCTCATGCGTAGATTCAGGATATGCATCTTTGGAAGGAATGTCACAGAAGTGATGTTGCATTCTTCTCCTTGTGTCCTATCAGGCGGCATACATTTCAGTTTGCTCCATTGCTAATGATGTTACTTGGATCACTAAATGAAGGTGGTGTCTACCAGGCTTCTCCATTCTTTCCCCTCTTTTAATTAATAAGTATTCTATGGGGAAGTACTTTGAAATTATGTAAATATACTGTTACTAACTAAGCTCAATTAATTAATTTATTTATATCTTATGGAATTAAGGCATCCTATTTTAGTCAATGGTTTATAACCAGTTGCTATCATAATATTTATGTCCCCCCCCCCCACTTGGTCAGTGGAAGTCCATTCAAGCTAGCTTCTGAGTCTTTCTTACTTGTTCCCATATCCTGTGAATACTTCCTGGCTTTCTGGCACCACAAGATGTTCCAGGATCATTCTGTATTATCCCTGCCCCAGCCCAGCCATTTCGGCAAGGAGTGCTGGTTCCTTTGAGTGGAAAATGGTGTTCAGAAGTCAAGTTTTGGGCACCAAGTGTCCTTATTACTATTATGGTGAGCAGCCCCCAGGTCATCTCTGTAGACAGAGCTAGGAGATGATATAGAGAGAGAGATCAACATAAATATATGTATAGACATAGACACTGACATGAATCTCTCTATATGTATATATACACACACACACATATATGTATGTACTTATCAATCACAGGTACACATATCTGACATTCCACAAAACATACAGAACAAGTTTCCTTTTACAGTTATTTTTGTCCTTGGGTTGTGTTCCAGTAGGGATGCAATCAATATATATTTTTATTTTTTGTTTTTTTAAAGTAATAGACTTTATTTTTATAGCAGT